GCAGGTTCTGTCCCACTAATGCTTTACCCGCTGATTGCCCTCGACCAGCCCCGGCACCCGGCACCCACCGACCCTGCTGGCTTGTGCCAGGGCTTTCTTTTTTCTTTTTTTCTTTTTTTTTTTTTTTTTTTTTTTTTTTTTTTTTTTTTTTTTTTTTAATTTTTTTCCCTCCTGTAACATTTAAACGCGTGGAAGTGAAAGAAAAATGCATCTCCTTCAACGTGCTCTGCCCAGATGTACAGTGCCGCCGAGGCTCGCCACAGAGCTGCAGTACTGGGGAGTCCCCTCGCCAGCCTCCCCTTAACCTACCCGGGAATTATGAAAGCTGAAGGGATTTAAACTGTTTAAGTTAACAAACTGCACTTAATTAGATCTACCACATCCTGTAATTCGAATGAAATGTATAACATTCAAGACTAGAAGAGTTTTATAGTGTTTATGATTCACTGAATAAATATTTGGAATCTGAACTCTTAGTAATTTATACCCAGCTTTAAAGACTGGTTATTTACTGGGAAGCAAAGGAACTAGTTAAGAAAATAGCTAAAATAATCAGTGTCGACTCATTTTCAAGTTGGGTTTTTGTTTCAGATTTTTCTTTGGTCGAGTGTTTTTTACTTACTTGTGTTCTATTTGAATAAACGTTTACATTTGCATGTTAATGCAAATAAGTTTTCTTTAGAATAGGTTTGAATATAATGCTGACTGCAGAACAACGGAAAAAAAATAACCCCCTTGAGAAAGAAGTAGTCTCATCTTACTTTACAATATTCTGGTAGTTTACTTTTTTCCCTAAAAAAGTTTGTGCTAGAGACTACATGTGATAATTGTATCTTGCTATAGTGAAATGCAATTGAAATTAAATTGATAACTGTATTATTTTTTAAATAACCCCACTTATAATCATAGCCGTCTTTAAAAAATGTGTTTCTTGCTTAACTTACATGTTAGAATATGCACACTTTTCCAAGTTTTTTTATGCAATTGCAAGAGAATTTAAATTCCTTTATTGTGCAAAATATATTTTTTCCTTTACCTGGAGTTGCTAAATTTTTCATGTTGCATTATTAATATTATGTTATTTAATTACACTGTTAATTCATATGTTTTAAGCAACTTCTCAGTTTAGTTTATCCTTTAGATCATCTGGGCTAGTTGTAGACTTGCCACAATTGCATGTTTTCCTGTATTTAGGAACCAACTGGTGAACCATCTCCTAAAAGACCAAGAGGAAGACCCAAAGGAAGCAAAAACAAGAGTCCCTCTAAAGCAGCTCAGAAGGTGAGATTGTTAAAGGGAAAGAATTACTTATGCTGTTTTTTCATCAGCTAATAGCAAAAAATCCAGTATTTAGGCTGTGAAGTGTCTTTTAATAATGGAAGCTACATAAAGCATGCATTTCACATTTTTAAAATTGGAATTAACATGAAAAGCCTAAGTATAGAACCCATGAGGGCATCTTTTTCAGTAGTCTACAGATTAGTGAAATAGCAATGTATTTCATGAAAAACCATGAGATGTCCTGTATCTAGGAAGGAAGTCAATGTTAAGGATATTATTTTCCTCATTAAGATTTTTGTAAGAGGAAGATTAACCTCTTGCTCACTTAGAGTTGTTACTACTACATACTACAAATCTGTATATTAAAACTAAGTGCTTTGTCAAACATAAGTTAATTAGAAGTAAATCCAATTATGTGTTGATGGAAGCAAGTGCACATATTGAAATTTACAGCTTTAAAATGTGATGATAAAGTAAACTTTGAGTTACAGTAAAGGCCTGTTATATCTTGTTTAGTAATCAGTTTCAAAGAGACTTGTACTGGAAGTGCTTTTAGTCTTCTAAACCACTGTTTCTGCTTGGTGATGGGACCAAACTTGTAATCTGGTGGTTCTGATTGCTCTTAGCTGCAGGAAAACTCCCTGAAGTCACTGCATTTAATGCATTTAGTGGACTTTACATCACAAATACAACATGAAAATTTGACTAAATTTTATTTGAATTGGGGAAAGAGCAGCATTAAAAAGTGGTGTTGTCAAGGCAAATCATGCATACGCTTCTGTCGGAAATATTTTCGTGAATGCAAATAGTTGTGTATAGGCTTGAAAACAAATATGAGAGATTTGTTTATTTGGTTATACAGCAGTTAGCACTAAACTCCAGGTACTAAATCAGAAACAAAAGCTTACAAAATCTGGTAGTGAACTGTTATGTTAAAGTGTATCAGTATCTTTTAAGGAGGTGTGTGACAAAATGTGTGGAAGGTATTTGTGTCCTTATCTAATTATGGTTCATTTTTCAGTATGCCTATGGTACCAACCATATTAAGTTTGATTGTTTTCAGTGTTATAAATTACTATAGCAACTACTGATAAATATTAAATCATTAAAAGGGGCTATGGTCTGTTTTGTTTAAAGTATTTTCAACATTTGTTTGAGGTACTTTTCTAATAGTTTGGTTTTTTTGTTTGTTTGGGGTTTTTTTGTTTGGTTTTTTGTTTGTTTTTTGTGGTGGTTTTCTGTTTTTTTTTTGTTTTGATTTGGTTTTTTGTTTTACTTTATGGGCTGGAAAAAAGCAGCATATTCTGTCAAGAAATGCATGAACTAGTAAAAAATGCTTTACAGGTTAAGTATTAAAAATCTTTGAAAGCCATTCTGCAAGGTAATGTGCTTAAAAATGTTGATTTTTTTCTTTATACAGTAAAAGCATTCCTCAGATTCATGTTAAAATAGTTTATATGTCACTCTTCAAAAGAGAGAGAGCAATTTTTTATTAGTCTAGCAAATCCAAATGTGAGCTTTAGTATTTTAAATATTACTCCTAGGAGTGTTGGCTTTCCTAGGAGAAACATTTGTAGAAAGATTAAATTTTAAGTAATTTGTAGAAGTGTGTTTTTAAAAGATGCTTCTAAAATAAATATTGACATTATTTCATTTACATGAGTGATTTGGAAATCAGTATAAATGAAAAATAATTTTAGAACATTCGTATATGTGTAGGTTTATCAAATCGAGAGTTTCCAGATGATTCATACATAGTTATGCTTTCTTAATCTAATTTACGAACGGACTAATTTTATTGTAACATTTTGATTTTCAGAATGCATGAAGTTACTCCTCTAATTAAAGCTTTTGGGTGTTGCTAATGTTAAAAATTGACGAAAGACCACATGTCTTTTTTATAATAAAAAACCCTTTGAGAGGTATGCAATTACAAATCTTATTGGTTTCTAGGTTTATAGATAAAATATAGAAATGTTTGATAAATCCTCTAAAGCATAAAACACTTATAAGCCTTACTAGAAGAAAGAGACTGGTATCATATTTCAAATAAATATTTTAGCCCTTTTTCCAAACTGAAAATTAGCCCTCTCTAAAATGGTTAAGCTTCTTACCAGGTATCTCAAAGTATCTTTTAATGTAATATTATTTCAAATAGTTTTTCTAACTGTAATATGGATGGGAAGGTTTTGACACTGTAAGAAAGCTTCCTTTGGTGGTGAGGGTATCACCTCTAAAAGGAGTGAGCTATATGTCCAATTTTGTGGTACACATATTTACACATATGTATGCATACATGCATTTATTAAGACTTTCTCAAGCCTGTCTCAACTCCCAGAAAGAGAACTGGCTATCTTAGCTTAAGCCCTTCTACATGTGAACCTGGGTACTATACACCCATCTGGAATTTGCTGGAATTTCTAAAGAATAGTGTGTGCCCTGTGTGTTTCAAAGGGAGCTCATTGAAATGCTTTAGAGTGTTCACAACATGTTAGATAAATGTCGACTACAAGAGTCCACTGAGCAGTCATGAGAAGGCACTCATGATTAATTGATTGGGTGTTCTCTTGCATAGCATTATACATCACAATTAAAAATGTATTGCTCAAACTGGCAGCGAGTTAAAAATACTCCAGAGCTGAGGCTTTGTTTTGTGATACTTTAAAAAGGAAATACTCTTAAATTAGTTGATGAACAATTTTCCCTGGAATTGTGGTTGTGTTGTATATTTACAATTTCTTGGTTCACATAATTTTTGCTTTAATTTTTGTTTGAGGTTTTTTGGTTTTTTTTTTTATTTTGTTTGTTTGTTTGTTTTGTTGCGTTGTTTTTTGTTTGTTTTGTTTTTTGTTTGGTTTGGTTTTGTTTGCTTGGGTTTTTGTTTGTTTTGTTTTTGGGTTTTTTGTTTTTTGGGGTTTTTTTGGGGTTTTTGGTGTGTTTTTTGTTTTTTGATTTTTTGGTTTTTGTGGGTTTTTTGGTTTTTTGATTTTTTTGTGGTTTTTTGTGGTTTTTTGTGGTTTTTTTTGTTTTTTTTTATTTATTTATTTATTTATTTTTGTTTGTGGGTTTTTTTGTTTTGGTTTGTTGGAGTTTTTTTAGCTTAAAGAGTTTGTGTTTGGTCTTAGTAAACTGGCCTTGGGGCATCTGAAAGCAAACTGTGCTTGTTAGGAAATTAGTAATGTGAAACTTGACAATGCATACAGAATGTTGCAAAACTAACTGAACAGCTAATAATGTGGCAATTACTCTCATTTTGTGTAGTATGCTTTTTTTTTTCCTTAAAGCCTTGTGTATCACACATTCATAAGTTTTTATAAACTAGACACAAGAAATAAGCTGTGTTTTATATAAGACCAAACCATTTCTCAATTGTTTAATTTTCACATACTGGAGAAACACAATGTGTTACCAGATAGACCAGATAGATAAGAGGTAGAGACAAAAACCTACTGATCACCTTGCACTTGAGTCCCTACAATTGGAATGTTATTATGCTGTCTGCATCTTTAAACAAGTTGTTCTGTCATTAATTTGAAGTATTTGGGTTAAAATAGCAAAATGTGAATTGGCTTTTAGGTATTTTTTCTCCACAAAGCACAACAATTTTTTCAGGAAGATCATAGTGGGGAATCTTCCTTTTTAATTTCCTGGGTGTTCTGTGTTCCCAGTCCATCACATTACCCTTTCTAGGGCTTTTATTTTTAGCTCCCATAGTTTGTCTTGATGAAAATACTGTATAGGCATAAATACCTTCCTGTTTGGGAGCAGGAAACACATTTGTGACATTAGAAAAAGGAGTAGTAGCTACTATATGATTATCTTTACTGGAATTGTCAAGGGATGTCCCAGGAATAGACAATGGTAAAAATTCTTTAATAAAATTTACCTTCAGCTAAAATATGTTGAGTTTTGTTGTAGTTATTGGTGTAGTGAGATTCACTGAAAATGTCTACAGACCTTTATTCATTGTCCTCTGAAAACTAGAGCTTGTGATCCTGTGTGTGACTACACTTGCTATTGTCTCTATGTGACATGGCCAGGTTTGGTATGTAGAAAGGCATGTCCCTGGGTTAAGCAGTCCAAAGGTAAAAGAAAAAAAAACAACCGAACCAGAAAAGTGCATGTGATCAGGACTGTCCTGAATTGGTTCACGAAAATCTAGTTGGCTTCTCCATGCTTCGTTCATTTTCACCAACACCAGTCATTGCAAGCTTAAAGGGAAAACAAATTTATCAAGGGATTGTAGTGTGGTTATTGCATTGAAAAAATTAGAGACCTCAACATCAAATGTTCTGACCAAGATAGGAAAAACAGAAGACTGACTTTTGTTTAGAATTAAAATGGTTAAAACAGGACAAGGAAAGTTAATGTTTTGTATTTAGTCAGTCCCTAAGATTTTTTTGAAGAGTCTTTTTTTACTAAATAACTGTGTGATTTTTTTGAGAGGGACATATTCCTGGGATAGGTCTTTTGATTCCGTTTGACAATAGTGATCTTCCTCCTGAGAACAATCACTTATTTTAGCTGACTTACAGCTCTGACACACTTTATCTGAGATCTCCAGCAGATCATTTTGCCAAGAAGATAGAGTTCTTCGAAATTGAATTCTGTTGCATTGGAGGTCTTCCTTGACAATATATAAATGCCCAAAGAGCACTTTATAGACATTCAGTTATTTATATTTGTCTCGTCTTGTTAATTGCTTTCGATAGTACAGCCTTGGTTTCTGTCTGTGTACAGCACATTTTTGCAATAAGGAGGCAGAGATCATGGGCAGTCAAATCCTAGAGTTGCTGAGAGAAGCTGTTTGGAAGCAGGGTTTGATGGCCCTGTGGTACAGGGCTTAAGTGGATTGCACATCTTCCTGGGGACTGCTAGCTCGCTTCCAGAGAGCAGTGACTGAAATGGTGGTCCTTCTCACCTGTGGTAAATTAAACCCACTTCCCATATAGATCGTGCTTTTAAACATGAATAAGTTTAGTTCTGTTCCTCAAATGTGACCTTGCAATAATGGTATTTTCATATTAATCTTTATAAGAAATTTCACGTTTTTAATGCAGTACGCTTCGTGTTTGATAACATAACCAACCCTTCTTTAAGTTTGGTAATTTCATGTTTTAGCTATAAAAAACAAGGTCATGCCTCATAGCACCAAATGTTAAAACTTCCTGACCAAACACCACCTCTGGGTGGCCTGGAACTCTGTCAGGATTTGCCCCTCGCTTCAGAGGCAACACTTCAATTAAAGCCAAGAACCAACAGACTGGAGTGTTTTTGATGACGCAAAAACCTGTTCAGAGCAATGGCCATGTTTTAGCGCTTTCATGGAGAAACAATGTATTATCTATCTGATACACAGTAAAACATTTCTTCAAGGTTAAATAACGGGTAAATCTTACGCTATTGGAGAAAATGCAGACTGTATTTTAGCAAAACGCAGGCTGAAAAAAGAGAGAAGGAAGTGGAATATTTTCCTAAACTTCATGTATTTATCATTACCGCTGTGCTGGTACTACTCCTTTTGTTTGTTCTAGAAGTGTTTTGCCTTTCTCTTCTCTTGAAAATGAGATTAAAACTTCCACTTTGTAGGTTCTTTGTCCTTCATTTTCTGCAGTTTAATCTGTGAAAACCCTGCTATTTACTTACAGAATCTCTCAGTACCAAAACATCACTCTGGCATGCCTGGCTGTTTGCTCAGCTCACCTCTGGGAAAGATTTGGTTTAGATAAGAACTGTGGAAATGTTTTTCTTCTAACATGTGGTGGAAGTCATATATTGCAGGAATATAGTGCCTTTCAATCTGCTAGGTCCCCAGGCACTTGACAAACCATTACCCAAACTAGCCAGCAGGAACATCAGCCACTTCTGACATGGACCTTTGGTGGTGGTCGAGCTCAGCACTGCTCATGGGAAGCCGCCACACTGTGTGACAGTTTATGGCAGGAAAAAAAAGATTAGTTATTCAAAGAAATCTCTCATGTTCATTATAATTTGTAGGTAAAATTAGTGTCAAGTTTGTCCAGACTTTAGTTATTATACCAAGCTAGATTTTGTTTTCAAAAAGTCAATTCTTTTAAAACAGAGTTTTGGAAAAGGATCTTTCCTTCAGATGCAGTAATACACAAAAGAAAATAAATAGCCTTAGTGCTCTGATATCATATCAAGTGTTAATTTGTTAAGACCAATTATTACTGATATTTTCATTTTAAGGTTTAAGCCCAGATTTTCATGAAGTAAATGTAGAATCAGGGGGTACAGCTTATCAACGCTAAACCATATCTTGTTTTTTGCATCCTTCAGGTTATTACAAGGTATAAAGAAATTGAACGCTTAAAGGAAACAAAACTCTGAAATAGACAGCTACAGGATATAGTAAATGCACTTTAACAAGTATTCTCTTAAGAGGGTTTCACCTTACATGTAACGCTAGTATAAACGATTAAAACTCAAGTTTACTCTTTTAACAAGTCTGAGTGATAATTTTGCCCTTTAGGAGTGTGAATTTTATTTTTCACAGCTTTCTTATTGTGAGGTATTTATTTCAAAGTAACTGTGTTTAACTCACAAGGTAGGGTTTTTTTGTAGAGATTCCTCCGCTAGTTCCTCAGCTTAAGTTCTCTTTTAGAGAGATCCGATTTACACAGCATTAAGTTACAGTATATGTTACAGTGATTGACCAGCAAGTGATTTATTTAATGGCACGGTTTATTTCTAAGGGCAAATCAAATACATATGCGGTTAACCGGGGGGTGGGGGGGGGCTAAACAAAGCAATACAATTCATGTGCACTAAAATCTTCATTCTTGGGGACTTTGTATCTGGCAAGTCCTGCCCTGACTACAGATGGTGGCAAAATCCTGAGTGGAACAGGATTATTTACCTGGTATGAATGGGCATAGCCTAGCTAGAGAGAATAGCCTGATTTTTTCATTTTAAATTCTATAAGCTTTTTAGTGTACTGCATAAGTACAGTTATTAGTAGCAGTATTCACAATGTCATGCAATGGCATTAGTGGAAGAGCCCATAAAAGAACCATATTTCCTTTAAGCTGAGCTCCAGGAGCAACTGCTGGGCTTACATAAATATAGCTGTCACTTTTAGGGCCCCTTCCACATTGTTTCCTTAAACTGGAAAGGCAAGGTGTGTTTTGGGCCATAAAAGGTTTACTTGCAGCTTAAGGATGTGCTTTTACCTGGAAAATTTCATGTGAGAAGTAGAGAAATTGTTCCCAATAAGAACACAGACATGTTCATGGTCATATTCTGTCCTAATTAATTCCATGCATGAACACAATGAGACTAAAAAAGGAATTGTAGCCGCTGTAAATGGCTTTGATCAAACTTGAAGCAGGCTGTATTTTTAATTTAGTATCTTTAAGTACTTTTTGATGGCCTGTGAAAGACTAGATTTGATGTAATTGGAGGTTCTCAGGTTTCCCAATTGCCCTATGTCCCCACCTCAGCCTGCATGTTAGATGGCTGGCCAGGGCACCTCAGGCTCCTCTGAGGGCCCTGAGCAGCTGGGGCTGTGTGGGCACACTCCTCCATATCCCTGGACACAGTGTGCATCAGGGCTGGGGGCACCCTTGGGTGCAGGTGAGGCACTGCCTAGCCACACTGGCTAAGAAATGTCAGAAAAAGCAGCATAATCTCATTCTACCTGAAAGCACACAGATTAACTAGGGGGCCTGGTGCCACCCAAGAGGTATAATTGTAGCTAATGTTACAGGAAAGGAGTTCCTAGTTACTGAGGCTGTTAAGTAACGCTGAGGTATAAAATATGTTGTGTTTCTTTTACAGAAAGCAGAAGCCACTGGTGAAAAGCGACCTAGAGGCCGGCCCAGAAAATGGGTAGGTATTTCACTTCCAGATTTATTTGCTGTGTTATAAAGTCCATTCCTTCAGAGAACAGTAGTTTCATTTGTAAAATAGAGCATCTATCTTCTGTGTCTCTTTGTTCTGGTGGATTGACTAAGGGGTTAAGAGAGCAAAGAAGTTGATCACAGCTTCCTACCTTTAGACTCTGGTAGTTTGCTCAAAACACTTTACAACTGAGTGTTTGCTTCGAGTGAATATTTATGCATATCTTATCAGCATGAAAAGAGGCTCAACTCTTCCTTCAAAAGAGAGTAACAATAGTAACTTGTTCAGTAATTGAGTATCAAAGGTTAAAGGGGCACTGTCAAGCATCAGAGGGTGATAAGACTCAGATGTAGGGTGCACAAGATAAAGTTTAAAAACCAAAATGCTTTTGTTCTACATTGCCTGGAAACATGCATATTTTCCTTAAATCCAGTGAGAAAGAGCACAGATGAACAGCAGGATACCTGCACTTACAACTTCATTTTTCCATTCACAGTCATTTTCCTGCCTCATATATTTGTAGTGACTGGTAATATATTTCATTAGTAGCTTCTGCTTTTCCGGACCCCATTTAGTCTTTAGATGTGTCTGTCAGACATATGGTTTTATTCTTCAGCAATGGAAGAATTTCAGGCTTAAGTACCTGAAATTTTGTGTTGTGTAAACACGTTTACAGCTAATGAAGGCCTGCCTGGCCATCTGCATGTTTTTCACTTGTGCCTAGGCTTTCATGTAGGATGTCACTGGGAAAATAGGATTGAGTATTAGAAGATATAAAGGTGTGGCTGTATGCTTCATCACAAGCTAACATTTCTAATTTCCCTTTTCCGCTTTCCTTTCCCTGCTCAACATTTTACTTTAAACTTATTTTTCAAATCCACCCCCACCATCTCAATTTCAACCCCTTATCTCACACTGTATTCTCTTTCCTCTTCAGTCCTGTTATTTTCTCCTCCATTTTGTTCAGTTCTTTTGCATAGCTGTTAAAAGAGTTGTAAAAGTATATGCTTATAACAGCTCAAATAGCACCATAAGGTACTGAAAACTACAGCTAAGGTTCCCCAGAGTATCAGCCACTAAACACAGGAAGGCTGCCTTTAGCAGTCACTTTAAGAGCTAGTTCTATTTCATTGTCTGGTGAAGGTACCGCAGGATATTTCTTTGGGGAAAACAGACCACTGCATACTAGATGAGTGCTTTATACCCGTAGTTTTTAAGTCAAGCACTTTTCAGGTACATGAGAAAACTCACTGGCATTAAAAAAAGGTGGCTTTTTGAAATGTGTCTATGCTGATCTTCTCATAAGCAGCTTGGGGAAAGCAAATGCCAAGTGCAGTAAAACGTGGGTCAGTTTCTGTCTGCTTCCTCCCATCTGGCTTGAACCTTGCATATCTGGACACTGAGTGTTGCTTGCTTGATCCTCACCTTGGGGGTAATCCATGGGAAACAGCAGAAATATCTGATTTATGAGAGTAATTAATTTATAACAGTCAAGACATCCCCTCTGAGTTAGGAATGTGTGACAGGTGAATAGGGATGGTTGAAGAGTTCGGGGAAAAGGGAAAAGGCAGCAGCCTTATATGTTAAAAAGATTTTCTCTTCCAAGTACACATAGTCAGAAACTACAGTGAGTTTTCAGTGAAAAGGGCTAATATAGCACTTCTGGCATCTTGTAGGCTAGAACGTTCCCCTTCTATGTTTGTATTTTTATGGGGAAGAAAGAATAGGCAGTATCAATGGAGCATTCAGTCTGGAGTGCTCCACTTTGCTCCAATTTGTTAGGTCAAGAATATGATTTTCAGAAATGAGAATTTCTAAAATGGATTGTATGCATGACTTTATTATGAGACCAATACTTTAAACAGTTTCACTCATTTTTTAAAAAATTAATGTGTATATTGAAACTTGGTATTACTTTGCTGTTGTGCCTGTTGAAAGTGCAGTCTTTTTTTATTTTCTTACTCTGATGATATGATTGCTTCTTGTCATTTTCAGAGATAATGCTTCAATCTGCAGCTTGTATGGAGATAATTCTTCAGACAGTGAGAATCAAATATGCCATTTTCCCCCTTCTCATTTTTCTCTCTTTCCAGTTTAAATTGTTCATGGGTTCCACTTGTAGTTGTAATCAAGAGAGGAGTCTACCTGAAAGCAGATGCTACAGCAACATCCTTTCTGTTTAGACCTCCAACATGTGGTCAGAAAATGCCCCTTTTTATCACCCATATTTCAGTTTAATCCTTAATGATTATATTCTCCTTAAACCAATTTATTTATATGTCAGGCCTTACTGATGATGGTTTAGTATCTATGTAAGTAAGGAGTGTGTAGGATTTTTGTCCTGGAAGGGCAGAATCCTACATTTTCATAAGTTTGTAACCCTTTTCTTGGGAGTCTAGAAGTTCTATGTCATATGTTGTTCATCAAATTCTAAAGTATTATTTCTGCTGTTTCCTTCAATATGCTCATGCAGAGACATATGAGCTAGCAGATCACTGTAGAATTCCGGTAGCTTGTCTTCCTGCTGGTTCAAATTAAGTATTTAATGTTTGTGACTCACAGTGTATTTATTTATACATTATTTTTAGAAGAAAAGTAAATCTTTTTTGACTAGTATAAAACTGAGAGGGGGAGGGAGAGCCCAAGTGAAGAGAGCAAGAAGCCCAGTTTATCACAAGCATATGAGATATCAGATAATCTTTTTAATGCAATAATGTGTACTTTGCAAAGCTGTCAAGGGAAAGAAGACCCTTGTCAATCGAATAGATGGTAAAGATTAAACAAAATCTGAAAATAAAATATTCAGCTACATAGAAAAGCTTTCTAAATGTGGAGAGCTAATTGGATTAAAATCCTGACGGTAACAAGGTCAAGCAGATGGGAAATGAACATAGTTGAAATCAGAAACACCCAGCTTCCTGCTGTAAACTCACCTTCACTGTAGGTTGCTGCACGTGTGTGGAGCACATTGAAAGCTGGGAGTCTACTACCTATTAATCCTCTTCATGGGGGCCTTAGTACTCCTTAATTTTAGACGTTTTATTGCATAAACATATTCTAAGCTCCCTGGATGCACCTGCATTAGTCTGTTAGTATGCTTTGGAAATGCATCTCCTAATTTTTCCCACTTTACTCTATGCGTTGTGTAGCAGTCTCAGAGCTCATTGGTTGGAGTCCTTTCAAATGAAACCGAATTGGAAGATGTGCTGCAGAAGTGCAGTCTGGTAGGCATTCAACCCACAGGACTAGGCTAGAGTGAAATAAAAACCTCTTAAAAGGTATGTGGTTTGCACCTGAGGTCCTCAGCACCATCCTGTGGTCCATATTGTAGACATAGCCTTTGATGCTTAAAAAAAAGACTATGAAACAACCTCTTTTTTATTAGCAGAATTATTTTATGTAGCACAGGCATAAAGTCAAATTCACATTCACAGAAGACAGTGAAAGGTTTATCATTAACTTCATCAGGGCCACGTGCTTGCTATTGAGGCCTGATGCTGCTGCTCATCAGCAACTGTTTTGCTCATGGCTTCACATAGCCCTTTTAAAGAGCTAGAAGAGGTTTTTTATTTTATTTATTTGATTTGTGTATGCCTATGATTTGATTGAAAGGAAGAGATTGAAGGTTTATGAGTAGAGCAGAGAGCTAAGTAATCAATTGTTTTGCTGTTTGTTCCAAAGAACAGCATTGAAAAGCCATGGAAATTTCAGTCTTCTAGTGCTCTCAGGTATCAGTTTAATGGAGGAATCTGAAATTAAATTTTGAAGTTGATGTTGTAAAGGGTATTTGTTTTTTATTTCCATTGCTTTTGTTGAGTCTTTAGGTAGAATTTTTTTTGCATTTCCAAATTGTTTGACCTGAACCAGAAACTCTCTGCATGGCATGGCAGAGTTGTTGCAGGGAGTAGTCCAGAGGTTTTTACAGCCTTGAGCAGGATTTTGGTGAGAAGAGATGGCTGATTCCATGCCACATAGCTGTTTTAAAAGATGGATAGATGCAATTCTAGAATTTGCATGATTGTAACAGTAGAAAATAGTCTGTGACCTTCTGACCAGGGACATGTGGGGTGCATGTGAAGCATCTGCTTGCGCGTCTCATCACTGAAGTCTAAGTAAGAACTGTGACTTATTCAGAAAACTTGCAATGATTTTGTTTCCTGCTAGCAGTATAGAGAGCACATTTCAGTTTGGTAGGAGATAGGAGATAATGAGAAATTAATTTCCTTAAGCAGATTTTTAATCCAGTCTTGTCATCTAGACAAGATGAGAGGGTAGGGGCTGTTCAGCCTGGAGATAGCTTCAGACAAACCATAGAGCAACTCCCAATAACCAAAGAGAGCTACAAGAAAAATGGAGATGGATTTTTTACAGACACCTGTAGTGATAGGACAAGAGGAAATGGCTTTAAACTGACTAGAGTGGTTTAGGTTAGATATTAAGAGGAAATTACTTACTGTGAGGGTAGTGAGACGCTGAAACAGTTGTTCAAAGAAATTGTGAATGTCTCACCCCTGAGAGTGCTCAAAGCCAAGGTGAATGGGGCTTTGAGCAACCTGTTTTAGTGGAAGGTGTCTTAGCCCATGGCAGGGTGTTGGAGCTAGGTGATCTTCCAGGTCCCTTCCAACTCAAATAATTTGATGATTATATGATGGATGATTATAGTGCTTTTTTAATGAGGGTAGAGATTTATACAAAGTGCCTTAAGCAGTGCCAAACCACATTTGAAAAAAAAAATTACAAAAATGCTTTTTTTACAGTAACTTTTTCTTCAGATTATTTCCCAGTGCAATTCTATCATAGCCGAGATGCAAAACCTTAAACATGAAATTGGTGAAATGTTTCTATGCCAGCAGTTCCTGTGTCAGGGCAAGGACTCCTAGTATTCATTAAGATTTTGAGAATGAGATTCTTAATTTTGAAGAAATGCATATCAAGGAAATCCCATTCCTCAGACGACCCACCAGTGTTTTGAGGCTATTTTTTGCCCATATTAGCTCAGTTGGTCAGAGCATGATGTAGTAAGACCAAGATTGCGGATTCAATGCCCATACAGACATTCACTTAAGAGTTGGACCTGATGATCTCTGTGGGTCCCTTCCAACTCAAAATATCCCGTGAATATGTGAACACTGAGCCTTTCCACACCTAAGTCAAGTTTCTAAGTCAAGTTTCTGCCTGATAATGACATACTCTGATGTAAAGTCATTTAACTAATATTTTTTACTTCTTATGCAGGCAGTCTTTTTTGTCTCGTATGAAGTCATGGTCTAAGGATGCTTAAATTCATGCAATCTTATTCACTGGGTGGTAGAGCGAAAGAACAATGTTCTGTGATCATAGTCCAACCTGTTCCAAAGAAGGCTTTGTTATAACTGTGGTGAATTCTCAGCTGGAGATATTAATCTTCTGACACTGTGGAGAACAACCTAGACAATAAAATAAGACACATAATTGACTTCTAGATAGCAAAAGGTTAGTGTGAGACTTCCCTCCTTTGCTGTGGGGCTTACCAGTGTATCTCTAAGCTGGGCTAGAGATTCTGCTGTTACAAGAACATGTGTTTAAATTAAGTACTACCAGCTCCATTTGGAGCAAGCCATGGCTGAGGTAAAATTTAAGTTGCATATATTGGATGATGAATGAAAAAGTTGCTATTTATGTAATTCCAGAAGATAGCATAGATAAAAATTCAGTTTCTTGTTCTTGAAAGAATAACAAAACTTTCATTATTTTGAATTTTTACAACTTTTGACTACTCTATCTGTAGTGTTACTGCTTCATGTGAAGCACATCGTGAAAATTTACATAAGTTGTGGTTACTTTAATCTTCCAAACTACCTTAGCTTCCTTCTGGAGGTCAGAGATAATATTTTATGACTTGGTAATATAAAATACCTTCTTTCTTGAACATGTTCTACACCTGTGTGGGCAAGAACATCACTTGAAAGTGTTCATTGTTTCAGTGGTCTAAAGAGCATGAAGGGGCTTTTCTAATTATGAAAAAAGGACTATTGACCTCTCCTTTAAAATTCCTAAACTTAGGAAGTGAATGAAGGACTTGAATTAAAAGCCTTAAAATCTTTATACCTATACACTTACTTTCCAGTATAGATGACCTGTAAAAGAAATAATTTCTCAAAACATGAACATTTTGACAAAAGCAGTGATGGTTGTACTTTTCTCCTCTGACTCTGTTTTTCCCTTTTGCCAATTTTTAGTTGTTTGCTTTTTTATACTTTTCAATTCAACATTCTGGGAAAGAAAAAAAGTCTTACATGCTTGTACCAAATGCATTAAAAAATTACTAAAAATATGTTCTGTCTCCCCAGTGATCAGAGATGTATGTGTCTTCATTTCTTTAGACATTTATCTAAGCAAACGGTGTCCTTCCTTGGAATATCAGAGTCCTGTTCTTTGTTGATATAAATGGATGTAGCAACATTTATTTGAAAGAGATCACAACAGAAAATATAGTCATGATACCTGTTTTCTAAAATGCATTTATATTAGCAAAAGGGTATTTCACTCATTCTCTAATTCACTTCCACTTCTGTTAATGTATATTAAAAGGTATCATCTTAGCTAAAAAAACCCCTTTTACTTCATCTGACATTTCAGACTCCTTAAAGAAAAATCTTTTATCTGTTTGAGGTCCAAAGAGGAAATTTTATCAGGTAAAAAATGCACCAAGTAAAGTTAAAGCGTCTCTAGTGAAAGCCAAACTGAAATTCTTAGCTATTTCTATATTATGATCTCAGATAATAGGTGTTAAAGAACTTTAAAAATCAGTTTTCCGTTTGGCTGTGGGCTTTGGTTTTTACTAGCCTCACTGCCCATTTTACATACGAGGAAACTGAGCACTGAGGCTGCTTGCCACAACATCAGGAGGCATTTTTATTCCTGCAATGTTTGAATTCTTAGGGTTTTTTACTAACATAGTTATCAACAACTGTGCATCCAAATACCTGACAGAGAAAATCAGGTAAAGAAAAGTACAGGCACTCATTCTTGCTCCTACATTTCCATTTTCACTATTTAAATTGTTGTGAATGCAGAAAGAGAAGCTGGGCCTCGCCTCCATTGAAACTCCATAAGGTTAATTGCCGTGCCCAAGGAAATCTGTAGGAGAGCCAGGAATAGAACTCAGACTTCCTGGCAGCCTGCCCTGTGCCTTCAGCTCAAGGCCATCCTCCTCCAGTAAAGCTTGCTTGAGAGCACATTGGATGAAGCACGGGGGGAAAGAAACACACTTTTCAATCCTGTATTTTAAACCAATAGATTTTTTTTACCTGTTTCTGCAAATTCAAGTGTGACTATTTCAGTATCTCTGGTATATGTCTAGCTGGTGGCAATGAGGAGTAGGAGTAAGATATTGAAAGCATCTATATATCATCCCTACAGATATTTAAAAAACATGAAGATGTGGTCCTTATGGACATGGTCTAGTGGTGGGCTTGGCAGTGGTGGGTTAATAGTGAACTTGATGATCTTAGAATTCTTTTCCAAGTTAAATGATTCTGTGATTATGTGATTCCATATACAGGATGGAATAAAGAGATTCAGGACCAAAAGGGTTTTGAACCAATCCCACATACAAGCCTGAAGGATATTTGATGCATAGTGATGATATTTTCTCACCTTTGTAACTTGATTACATACATGTCCAATACTGATTGATTAAATAACAGACAAATAGTCACAAAAACAAGGTGGTTCCATGAATATTTGGAATATGGTTACTCTCCTTTGAGTATTAGCCAATCTGAGTCATAGCTGTGGTACAAGCCCATTCCAAGTCACCTCATCTAGAAATAAATGAGTCACGTCATCTATTTCCATTCCCTGTCCTCTAGAAAGGTAGTGCTGGAGAAGGAATAAAAACCCATGTTTTAAAGTGTGATCCAGAAGAGAAGATTCAGAGTCAAGACTCTAGATTTTCTTAAAATCTCTGACTAATTGTGCCACTCCTTTAATATAATTTAATTTAATTCTGCTTTATACTGCAAGCCCCCATAGTGCAATAGCCCAACAGGAAGATACCATGTTTTTTCTCCGCAAGAAAAGGCCATCTTATAAATGGCACTCAGTCCCGGAGTAGGTGAGTTGACTCCTATCAATTAACAGTTACTATAATAATTAAAGGCAGGTAATACTTTTGGCTTTGTCCTGCATTCTGTACAGACCCAAGCAGGCAATGTGGATGCCAAGGAATACAGGGTTGATACTCTTCTGGAGGAGTTTGGGATAGACTGATACTGTGATAATTAATATTTGGAGAGTACTTTCAGGTGTTTGAATTAAAATCATTATATGCATTAAGTGCAAGTATTGTTGTTTCCTCTTCCTTAATCCTGAGACTAAGCCTCACTTCAAATTACAGTTTAGCATTACATTTTAGGTATGAGTAGATTTTCAACATTAAATAGCTGCAAAATATCCTCACCAGGAATTGTCTTCTAATTCTGTAGCACACAATACTTAGTGAAGAAAAATACTTTCTTTTTGTCTCTGCTATTTTGAATTTCTTTTGTGCTAGCTCCCATTTAAAATATAAATGGAGCATAGTTTACAATAGCATTTACAAGTCCCTAAGTGAGATATTTGTCAGACTGCAAAGGAAAACCAAAATAAAAGTTGAGGGACAAGACCCTGAGATTTGAAACTTGTGACTTCACAAGCTGTATTGCTTAAATAGTCAGATTGGGATATGCAGTTTAATGATGTAAAGATGCAGTAGTGACACTGCTGCTAGAAGAGGAAGAAATCCAGATATTTTCAGTTTTGGGGGAGCCCTGATAAACATGGAGGCCTGGGAAGATGAAGTCTGAATGAAAAAGCCATATGTTGAGAAGTATGTAACTGTGGAGTGGAGGGTGATAATGCTGACAAGACTGTATTGCATTCCTGTATTGCTCTCTGTTCAGAATGGTTCTGGTTGCACAAAATATGCTAATTAGCCTTGCTGTTAATGTAGGCTGTTGGTGGGATATTATTTCCTTCTTTAAAATTTCTTTAAAATACAGTGAGACAAGGAGACTGCTTCTTGGTTGTTTTGATGGCGCAGTGGTTTCATTTCAGGAAGGAAATCCTACTTGTGCAAAAGGGCAGCCAGCAGCCACCCTGTGCTGATGGGAGGGGAAGGTGGATTTATTTCTCGAATGCAGGCATCTCTGGGTTTCGTCCTTTTTCTTTCATGGTATAACATTGCAGGGAATCTGTTACACCCAAGCTACAGCCTGTCTCACTAGGGTTTTGATTTCTATCATCTGTTCCCTTCCAGGACAGGCTCCTAAAATATTTTAGAAGTCTATGTATTATCTCCAGAGATATTTAAAAGACATATAGGTGTGATCCTTAGGGACATAGTTTAGTGGTGAACTTGGCAGTACTGGATTAATGGTTGGACTTGATGATCTTAGAAGTCTTTTCCATCCTAAGTGTTGAAAACTGGCCTTAATTAGTACTCAAAAATTGTGTCGCTTCTTCTCTGCATGGCATTTCAGCTTCAAGAGGAGGGCTGGAGAATGCTTCTCATCCAGGAAAACACAGGAGCTTGTGATTTGGACACTTATATAGAAGGTGTGGGTTTAAATCTTCATCACATTTGCTAATCGATAGACTCCCTGTGAACAGTCTTTCTCAGAGATGCTGATGTCCAGGCTGGACCTGAGCACTGTGAATGGTGCTATGCTCTGTCCAGGTAATTCATAGCTCTGAAGGCTTCTCTAGGGATGGAGCTAGGTTTTGGATAGCTGTTGGCTGAAACTTGAAATGAAGTGGAGTTTTAGTGGGGAGGTAAGGCTAGCTGCCTTAGATTATCAATTTTGAGCATGTTCGCCTAATTAAACTCAGAGGACTTGAAGGTTAGTAAGAAAATACTAGGTAACTGAGGAACTTCCAGAGATAGCTGCAGAGAATAGATGGGTCAAACCCCACTCTAGTGAAATCTCCACATACATAAGATGTTATTTGTGTGTTTTATAGCATGGATGCTAGAATTTTGCTGGCAACACCTTGCTGCAATCTATTTGCATGTGATTTTAATTCCTTCTCTTGCCAGTTTAAATTATATTCCCTGTTATCATTGCAGGTATTGTAGAGTTTCAGGGTTTTTTTTGGCAACTCAGTTATATATCTCTATGAGTGCTATTTCCATAGCAGTTTTAGGAGATTAGTAATGAATAATGTATGTCTTTATTCTGCTTTTTCTTTTCACTTCGTTAAAATAAACTCTCTGTTTTCAGTTTGTTTTATTCTACTCTGTCAATCCTGAAAACTGCTGAACTGTGGAACTGCAGGGTCAGACTTTGGTGCTACTTATGATGATTTAAATAATAGTACTGATAAATTAAATTTGATTGTATATCTGTATTGGTGTCAATGGGAATGACGCCTGGTCCTCAGAGATTGGTTTGCTTTGATTAAAAGTGATTTACCAATGGTGGCAGTCTCAATTTTGGAGACTTAAAGATAATGAGTGAATTGGCACAATTTAGGGTTTCTTCATCTTGTCTGTTCTGAGTAACTGCTGAGAGCTTAAAACCAGTCTGACTGGTAGTTTCTGTATGGAGCAGAACTCACAACTTTACCTAATATGTTACCCAAATCCATTTTGACTGTTATCCATTATCCCTAGAGCAATTGGAGCCTTTTACAAGATGCAATAGAAATGCACACATATGTGAGCTTCGCTGTTATGATTTTATTATGAAATTGCATTGTGTGAATATGTTCTTGCGGTTTCCTTAGTATTCACAGAGCAGCCATTCAGGTTCTGGCTGCTTCTCTTGCTTTGTTTCCTGTTAATGATGCTAAATGCCTTGAGAAATCTGCTTGGGGACCCTCCTTCCATGTTCAACTGTTTATTTGGGTTTTGAAAAAACATCTCACACAAGTATATAGAGTACTTGGATCAAAGTATTGACTATGTAGAGGAGACAAGGTGCCTTCTGACATAGCACGCACTGTTTCATTCATTAATGTTCATTAACATTCATATACTGTTTGGAGGTGTCAGAGGTGTTTGAAGTTTTCAAGGTACTTCAAGAATGACCATTCAAGCAATTGTTTCATCAAGATTTACACATAAGTGTCATTGAGATAGGTAGACTGACAAATGGTCTACCAGTGAGACACCATGCCCCGGTCTAGTAGATTGAATATGTAGCCAGGAGATGCATGATGAAATATTAGGTTTGTTGAAGTCAATGGCCAAACTCCTAATGAAATCACTTGCCTGGATTTCAGCCCTTCTCCCTCTGCCGCTAATGTGATACATAACTGTGTTTTGCATAGTTACAAGCTCTATAAATTGTGTGAATAGCCATGTTGGCATGAAACTCAGGTAATTTGAGGAAGACTATCTATACACATTCAACAGAAACTTTATGGTGACTCTTATATAACAAGAGCAGTATTTGACTAAATCTGTGAATGCAATAAATTTAAAATTAATGTTAGCTAAGTTTTGAGCAGTCACTGCATGAGTAATGGTGAATAATGGAGATATACACAGAAGATTTTTACTCTTGCTTTTTTAATTATAAAGCACTTGTATGCAACTTAAATAGTTATACTTCTTAAAGGGATAACTTCTTCAATTATTTCTGTAAATTATTTGAAAAGTGAAATAAGGACAGCTCTGTACTGTAACCTATAGCACTTTTAAAAAAGATATATAAAGATGTGGTTTTGAAAATGCCAGAATTTTCTTGCTTTTCCTCTTGCGTAACTTTATTGAGCTGTGGTCATAGGTACATACATACTGAGGGTGTATTAGTTACTGAAACAAATTCTTTTAAATGTGAGTTTTTGTAAAGTTGTGCCTTCACTGAAGTGAATCCAATAGAAAGATTCTAACTTACTTGGTTGAAGTCAGAATTTCTTTTTCCAAAGGTTTGTAAATGGTGATATATAAATTGGAAACCCTTCTTAGTTATGCTAACAAAAAAACACCTATTATGGTTTTGAGTAAGGGAAATAATTTGCCCTTTAATCTCCAGTATATCTTAAGGGAGAAGGTTTTGCACACTGTATTTTTTGTTTAAACTAGAACAAATCCTTTACGTAAAGACAGTATCCATTGCGCAGATAACAACAAAGAAAAAATTTGCTATAGCTGAAGTTCACACATGAGCACAGAAACGTTTCAAAATTGTATTCTTAATAATAATTTTGCTCCAAGCAGAAAGGTACTTTATCTCTTTCACTGCACATTTCAGGAAGTAGGTCTCAACCTTTGCAGGCAAGCCAGATGCAACTGCTTTCCAAGAAAGATGTTGTTAATTCCATTATGCCAAATCACAAAAAAGGCTATTTACAGGAGAAGTTAGAGTAATCATGATCTTTTTGCATAATTATAAATCACTGTGGTTTTCTTTGCATGGTTAAAATTTCAAATAGTAATTAAGTAATGTCCCAAAGCAAGTTTTGTGCATTCCAAAGCTCTGTACACCTTTCTTCACATTCCTGAAGCCATTATCTTGAGTGTATAATAAATGAGAAGCAGAACTCTAGTGATTTAGTTAGCTTTCTCATTTTTTTATGTGTTAGTTTTCAGAAAAGCTTTTAGTGACCTGAAAACAAAACCAGAAAAAAACAAAAGTGGAGAAATTCTGTCCTTTCTTCACACTTCTGTGAGCATTTCAGACACTTTGCACAAGTATAGAAGCACGGGTGAACATAGCTGTATGCATTCTGTTTGTCTTCGCTGGGTCAACATTTGAATCCATAGCTTGCCTGATCTCCTCATTTAGGGCTGCATAAGTGTCATGGATAGAAACTTTGAAAAAGTTCTCCTTTTCAGTAATTCAAACATGATCAGGCTGTTGAAAAATTGAAAAGGGGATTTATCTAATTTTAAAAAATGTGTGACCATTTATTTTGAAAATACCTAACAAAATAAATGTCCAATCCTAGACTAACTGAGAATATGAGAAATATGAGAAATTGCATGTAACCTTCAAGAAAATCAAACAGTAAAGAGTAGAAAACAGGCAAAAAGAAGGAACAAAGAGCCCAAGTCTCTAAAACACCTAGAGTAGTGGGGAATTGTCACTTTCAGATTATTAGATTGAATTTGATTTTACCAGCTGTCAGCTCTATTGTGTCCCGTGTGCTAATATCAGAATTTTCCGTGTAGGGTGAGCAAGTGTCTTAAGTTATCCATTTCTTATTTTGCATGCTTATCATAGCTCCTCTGCCTCTTTCAGTCTAGGAAACTGAAAGGAAAAATAATTTTTCTTCTTTCAGAAACAAAGGTGGCGTGTAAAGCTCTTTTGTTTATAGCAGTTATGCTCTGTATATCAAGGCTCAGCGTAACTCTCGTACTACCTGAGTTAGATGGAGTTTAGGAGGTTACATTCCTCTTTTTGGATTCTGTTGCTCAGCCAGATACCTAGGGATCTCCTAGTAGCTAGTTCATTATGGTTATCTTGCTTTATTGAAGACAGAATAGCCAGACCCAAGAGACAAAAGCCATGTCAGCTTGAGGAGGAGGGCAGAATCATGGGAAGTTTGAAGGCAGGTCAGAATCACTTCATTCCCTTCATTCCTGTCTTAAGCTATATGTCTGATTTTGTTCTTCTAGAGAGTGCAGAGTTGGACCCACAGCTGGTGATTTAAACTGCTATGACATCAAGATTGAATTTGAGTGGCAACACATCAGCACCATGAATGACTTATGAATAAAACAGAAATTTTAAGGGACATTTTAAGGGACATTCACTTGGCTCAAGTGAAAAGTAGAGAATATTATTTGTACAGATGGAAACGTCCATGCCCACTAAGGTGCAGTGTTGTCTTTGCTAATCTCAGCTATATTTGTGTTTGAGTGTGAATTTTCTCCTTTGCAAAGTGGTTCTCCTTCTAGTCAGTCTGTAAGTGAAGTCATAATCCCACAGCTGACATCATAGTCTGTAATCATGGAAAGTATTGTGATCTCGCAAATACAGTCTCTGAATGATGGGAAAATGAGCTGTAAAACAGGAAGTTGCTGTTTAAACTCAAACCAATGGCAATTATCAGAAACAGAGAAAGCAATAAGACAGTTCTGTAGGGCTAAACTGATTTTTGGTGTAGTACTGCTGAAGGCACTTGAGTTACCCCAGGGAGGAACTTACCCCCTGCATCTGGAATGACTTGATGGCAAGCATAGAGAGGAAGTGAATTTATGCTCCAGTTAAATACATTGGAAAGTTTTCCCTTGTCTGAAAGCCTTTCTTTATCTCTGAATTTCCTGGCTTTTGTGGATTTATATTAGATCTTTAATGTTATTTCAATGTATTTTTTCTGGTGTTTGATGTCTTTTGAGTTGTTTTTACAGATATGTATTTAATGAAAGTAAAAGCTGTTTTCTATTAAGGAGTTTGCAAAGCTTTCATGAGCAGTGAATGGCTACCAAACGTAAGATGTCTTTTTTGTTCAGATTGGTGGCTGTTACTTGTGTGGCTGAAACATTAATTTCAATAAGAAGATCCAAGTATCTCTTACAAGAACATTTTAGCACCTCTTTTCCAAGGCTAAATACTACTGCAAATTTTACTTTTTTACCAAAGGATTGCCTCAGCAACTCTATATGCAGTCTTAAAATTAGTGATCTGCAGTATAAATAGAACATCAATACATTGTGCTTGTCAAACCTTGACAAATAATTATTTGTAAGACACGTGGAAAAACTGAATAAGTTACCTGTTTTACATATATACAAGTTTCTCACCCTTACTCAGAAGATATCAGAATTCCCTGTTCTAAGCCTGCTAGGGGCAGAGATAATGTACAGTCAGCCATGGGGAGTGAAGCTTTTGAGGATGCAAGTGAATGAAGGGTGTTATTTGTGCACAAGCCAAACTCCCAACAGAAACAGAAATTGGTTCTCGCTTGGTCTCCCGAGTCTGTGGCATTTCGCCAGTTGTGTCATGGTGTAAAAGAACAAGGGGCAAGAGCCACAAGTTTCAACAAGGGGAATTCCCATGTAGCGAGGAAAAGAAATCCACCACAGAAAGGGGTAAGCAGGGGACATACTCTGTAGAGAGGCTGAGGAATCTCCCTCCTTGAGGAAAGCTCAGGCCAACCTGATCTGACTTCCAGTTTAGAAGTCAGCCTAGCTTTGAGTAGAAGGTTGGATGAGAGAAGCATCAGGCACCTTTCAAAACAAAATTTAGATGCTTTTATGCTATACCTGTCTATGTATTTGACCCTGTTGTATCTCAAATATTTTAATTTTAATTTAAGGTATACTTCCTTCTTCACCAGTAGTGAAATGGCAGGTATTTGAGCTTTGACTGCTTACAGGTTTTCTTTTGTGCCAGATCAATAGAGTTGCCCCAATTTTGCTTTAACTGCCCATCTCACTCAGTGCTAAGTCAAGGGAGGAGGACTAAGAACCTTAATTTTGGAAAGTCTTGGTGAGAGCCAGATGGCATCCCAGTACTGTGTGTGCTCTTTGCTTCTGAGAGAAAGAGAGTTCTCCCTGTTATAAAGTAGATTTTTACCCCTCATGCTGAGAATCCACTGTTCATTGTTTTTTTTCTTTAAACAAAGGTGAAAGGCAATTTCATCTGTGTTTCTGCTGTGTTACGTAGAAGAGCAGAACCAGGGGACAAAAATCTGTCCAATCTATCTGTTTGTTTTGCGAGCGGTGAGGCAGGGCACATGCCAGAAAGTTGTGCTCCTGGCACTCCTACTGGAGGTCTGTGAGGGGAAGAAGCTGGGGGCAGTACATGGATGGACTATGAAAATGGGAAAACAGCATTGGTCTGTGCCTGTAGCAGGATCAGCTATAAAGGTACAAGACAACTTACACTATTCTTGTTCCTCTACTGCCCTTGTTGAGGTGTCCCATGTATGTGCCATGACAGGCTACACTTCTGTGTTGTGCAAGAGAGGGGCAGCTTGTCATTGCCTGAGGGGAGTGTGAATTGGCATGGCTACACACCAAACTGCAGTGATCCAGGAGCTGTCTGGGCAGCAATCAAAGCACAGTTAGTTCTGGGATCTCTGTTGCCTACAGCAGTTTAGGCCTGCAGAGGGGAAGTGCTCCCATGTGCGTGTGCTGCAAATCCCATACTGATAATGCATACAGCCACAACATCTCCCCTCTGCTCTGACCTCACCTGCTACAGCTGACCCACGGATCTGCCACTCCACTGCTGCAAATGGCTGCTGCCAGACAGGGACAGGGAGGTTGCAGTGGTCAGTGATCTGATGGGAAAGGTCCTTGCTCGGCCCTACCAGGCAAAAGTTTCAGCTGAAAGATTATGCCTGTACTGCCATGTTGATCCTGCAACTGGCCAACTTGGCCATATCTTTGACTTACTGCACCCATCTGACTTGCCAAAGAGAGAGAGCTCACCAGTCTCAGCATTAGGGTGTTTCGTGGCAAAGGTGTGTGGGCACCAGTTGCTCTGATGGATGTTGCAGTAGGTAGGCACCAAGAGGAGTCAGTTTTAATTTGGTCTGAAGTCCATCAAGTAGCTTATTTTTAACACTTGGCCAAATGCATTGTTTTCCAGAGGAAAACATGATCCATCCATAGATTAGCCACAGAATACTTGTTTTGTTTTCTTTTTAGAAAGAGAGAGAAGCATAAGGTTCACAGTAGTTTGAAAGTAAGGTCCTGTGTTCTACATCTTATCAAAATGTAGCAAATATATTCCTAGCCAGTAGGTTTTTTGAATGTTGCCCCTGGACCAAAAGTCATGAAGGAAAATTTTTCTTTCCCTGGTCTGTGTCAGCACTGTGTGAACATATGCCATAGATCAGGTCTGGAGGAAAGTTTTTGTTTTCTTTTTTTTTTTATTTATGTGAATACTTGCAGTAAAACCTAACAGTTCATCTGTTCAACTTGTTTATTCCCTACTTGCAGTTTTACTAATCCTTATTTTTTTGTGACATCATAATGATTTCCATAGCAACCAGTTGTGAGATTGCAAACAAAGCATTATGCCTTCAGGTGCAGAATGAAAAGATAAACTCTTAAGAAACAGGTTTTCAGACAAATGACCCTATTAATAAAGAATAAGAGGATTGGATAAAAATCCCCAAACAGATGGTGTGTAGTACCGACAGAGGTGATTCAAGCTGACCCTATGTTAGGATTTCCTGTGAGGCTATAGTATTGTTAGAAGGCCATAAAAATACATGGATCTGCAAGAAATTATTTTTTCATCTCTTTAGAAATGGTCACGTTTCTATTTAAAGCTGCTGTGTTTGTCAAAGCAAAGTTACCTCTTGACTTGTGTGTTGTTTCAAAAAACCACAAGCCTGCAAGGTATAACTATTTTTGAAAAAGACACTATTGATTCCTCAAGGACATTGTTGTGAGTGTGATCCATGTTCAGGTGAGATCCATAATGAGTTTCTTGCAAAAGCTTCCTCAGATTATCAGCAGCAAACATTTCTGATAAACTTCATTGCATACATAGTTGGAATGAAAGGACATGGTGAAGCAGTACTACTAGCAGTAACTTTATGCTTGACGATGTTTCCTACATCCAATTTCACGTTTGGATTAACAGCTCTTCTTCCACTTCTGCTGCTTAGTGGGACACAGTTAAACAGTTAACCCTGTTTAAAAGAGCAATGAGTCCTTCTTGGTGTTGAGGACTGTTCTCCTTACATTGCCACCAAGCAGACAGATTTTCAATTCCTCCCTGATACACTGGAGCTCTTAGTTTAAACAAGACAGGAGATGCAGGGGTGAGTCCATAACAACCAAGTAGTTTCTGGGGCTATGCTTTTATGTTCATATCCCTTTAGTCCTTGTTCTTCTTACTGGGGCAGTGTGTTGGGAAAGCTTACAAATCACAGCAGCTTTGTAACCTTGTTTCTTATGCTTCTTCCTGGCTTCTAACAGAGATGGAAACTTGTCCATGGCCTTGGTTCAAGACTCTCTAAATTCATGGCCTCAGCTTGCTTCAGATAGGTCTCTATCACCCTTCAACCACTTAATCTCCTTGTGGTAGCAATCTTCTCCTCCTACCCTGTCTCTAGGCACTTTTACCAAAAGCACCTAAAAACAACAGCAAGTTTGTGGAGATTGCATTAAATGGGCAGCATATCCTGTGTGGAGCTTTCCACTCTCCATGCTTTTTCTTCAGCTTCTTCACTTATCAGACCTTGAGACAGGATTTGTATTTATTGGTGTGTCAATTAATAAAGTTACAGTAGGTCTTGCTTTATTTAATTGTGTTTGTGCTCTTCAGGCATCTTTGTCTTACCCTTGTTTCCCTCTTCTGATAACAACAGGAGGGATTTCTGTGTGGGCCACTTGCTCTAGCTCTAAATACTTTGCAAGTTTCCTTTCCCTTATAGGTTCTCACAGGCACTATTTCTTAGTTTCTCTGAAATACTTCCCCTAGGATTTGTCTCTTTTTCCCCCCCCTAGCATTTCAAAGTTTGGACAGGGATTCTCTGCTTCCTGAGGTTTTAATAATTACATCCTCTGTGCCCAGCCATGGCCTGTTAATGGAGTCACGTGCACTGGGTTTCTTACAGGACTTTTCTGTTTGCTGGTCCCAAGAGAGCAGAAGAACAACAAATGCTTTGGGCTTTTCCTGAGCAGCAGAAGTGGCTGGGAGGGGGTGCTAAATCTTGATCTCCATCCTGAGGAAACAACCATAGTAGGTTTGCTCTTAATTTTGATGAGATGAGGTGAGATGAGGTGAGATGAGAACAGTTGTTCTGGGGAATGGGATGTATTGTGCATAACATGTAAATCATATTTCTTGTGTAAACCTTACAGTTTTTTGTCAAGATAATACCTTTTCCCTTCTGAACAGTAAGGCATTTTGCATTTTGGTAGCTTTGTCCCCAGTACAGTTTCTTCAGGTGCTTGAAAATTAAGTTTGTATAAAGGTGAATGTACTAGATGGTTGCAGAGATACTGACAGCTTTACAGGGATGTGGAATATTTTCTATTTGTGTGGGTGATATTCAGCTAACAGGGATAGATTTGAGATGATTAATTTATTTTCCTCAACGAGTCAAGATGAGAGGTGATCAGCCATCCCTTGAGCTGTCTCTGTGGTCTGAATATAAAGCCATACCATGAAATACCAAGAAATGAGAAGATTAATTGTAAGGTTCTTGTTTTATTCTTCTTCCCCCTGTTGTCTATCATGTTTTCCCTTCTGTCCTCTGGGCCAGGTCTTCCATCCTGCTGCAGGTTGCTTAGGCCTCTCTTTGCAATTTTCTTTCAGTTAAGTAAATCTGATGTAGGGAAATGGTGCTCCTTGAAATATTTACCCTAGTAAATACCCTGCTTTCCGTGGGCCTTGTAGACAGAAGAGCAAATCCTTCAGCTTTGGGAGGAAATGTACAAAGAGATGGTGTCTGTTAAGGTTTTTGTATGCCAGAAAGAATAAAAAAACCCTGTTGCATTCATCAGATACCTAGAAAACCTGTTGTTGGTGGTGTATAAATGCAAACACACACTCTTCTCCAGAAGTGCTCTAAAATCCTGCTGCAATTCTTGTGAAGTTGCTCACATTTATACACACTGAGCTGTATTTCAGTAATACTGTGGGTGGTTATTTTAGTCTCAGTTTCACAGTAAGCTGGAATGATTACACCAGCAACAACATGAAATGTCTTAATGCAAATGACAGCAGTAGGCTGGAATCTTCCACACTCCCACCTCTGCTGCAGCCCTGCTGCATGTCAGGACTTCCCACAGCTGGGAGTACTTAACTCATAGCCTCCAAGTAAATGGCTTCTATTTAATTTTGAGCACCAGAGTATCTCTGCTAAAATAGAAACTGAATTTCCTGAGGCTTGTGGAGCTAGGATTGGAGACAAACACATTCACTAAGAGGTCTAAGCATTGAAAGAATTGAGATGAGTCTCTTGTTCTGAGTTTGACTTTTTTTTAGTCTCTCCTTATCTGATTTTCTTTCTTCAATGAGTATTTTATTCCATTAGCCTTGGGAAGGAAGACGTCCAGAGACAGATGGGAATGTGTTTTAGTTTTCATTCAGTTAAATATTCTTTAAATATTACATATGCAAAACAGCCATGGCTGAAAGTGCACTATAGTATATTTATGAAACTTGCAAAAATACTTAAGGGCCCTCAGTCTTTTTGTAACACCTGAATAATGCCTTTGTTTGAAGAAGTCAGGAGTATGTGAGTGGCTGTGGTGAGGAGCTGTGTAAGGATCAGTCAGATCTGATTTGGTCAGAATGAAATACTGAATGAGAAGTCAGAAAGAGATACCCTTTGTGTGAGTTGGATGCCATCTGAGAAAGAACAGATTGATCAGTATGTAGCTTGTGAAGTTCTTTGAAGTGCCTGTATTTGAGCAACTTTTCTACATACAGATGCACTCAGACATTGAAACCAAAGAAGTTCCAAGGCAAACACCTTTTAATATTGATAATAGAAAATAATAATATAACAGGAATAGAAAATATTAGATTGTATGTAAAATTAAATTTTATTTAATTTTACACAAATAGAAAATACTAAATAATACAGAAAATAATATTCCAGGTAAAACTTTCCAATCCAATGTTTTAAGCCCAAAAAAACCTGAAAACTCAGGTTATATTTGGGAAAATGTCCCAAATAAAAATCTCAAAATGCGACCATATACTATTTGCCAAAGCTGGAAAAATATGTGAACATTTGCAACAGTCAAGGTCAGTTGGCTTTGTCTCCTCCTGCTTTCCCTTTCCTCACAACCAGAACTTTTGTGACCTTTCTTGTAGAGATTCTGGAGTAGTGACCCCCATTATTAAAACTGGTTTTTTCAAGAAGCTACTTTTCATTACAGCTCTGACAGACATCAGTTACGACAAAATGTTAATCTCCCCAATGAAATCACTTGGTTCTTTTTAACTTTTTAATGGTGATATTTTTCTTTCTCTCCTTTTAATTGTGATTTTTACTTTATCCTCAAATAGCTTATCTTTGAACCTGAAATGTGTATAGGGATATAATTTAAAGAGAGCTGGCCAACTTCTGACTCCATTTCATCTGATGGATTATGTTTTGTCTGTTGATGCCCAGCTGTGTGGGGAGTGTGCTCTGGTCTGGAGACTGAGTTTTCTGTGGGTTAAGTTCAACCTGCAGGTTGTGAGAAATGCATAATTGTTTTGAACCTAGTGATAGCAAAGATACATAATTTCATATTTCTTACCACAAAAGGAGTCCATCTTGCTCCTGCAGTCTTACACAACCAAAAAATATTGATCAATGTTTACTTCTGCGTCCATAGTCACCAAAATGTTGTCTTTCTGAATAGAAAATGACGTGATACAAATCCTTAAATTACGAAATAAATAAAACAATGTTATGTACAATGTTCATTATATGTATTGAATGCACTAAGAGCAATATTTAATGATTTTGCAGGTAATCTCACTCTCCCTGCATGCAGCTCAGGGGGTGTTTAATGTGGCGTGTCCTACATGTGACATTCAGCTCCCTGTGACTTTTCCATTTAATTCACTGGTTTGTGCATTGGCTTTCTTGAAGTGCTTAGGAAAAGGAAGTTTTGCAGCAACTAATCTCTTTCAGGAAAATAATCATACTGTAGCACTTTACAAAACAAATATGAAAAGTAAATGTTTGGCAGGGTTAGTGAGAAGAGTTAAGGTTAGGCAGATAATCAAAATTGAACAATCTTGTCTTTTACTTGTTTGTATACTTATAATACTAATTGCTGCCTCAGTTTTATTTTAAATGTTGCAAGTTGATATGCGGCTTTAAAAGGCGTGAACTTACCTTACCAAGTGAATGAGCAATGATACACTTTCAGGAATACTTATTAAAGAGTCATTTCCTAGTACCACAA